GTCACGGATGCGGCATCGGCCCCAACTTTTCCTGTGCAGCCTTCTTCTTGGCGGCGGCGTCATTAGCCACGGCATCGGTGTCAGGGAAGTAGTTGAAGCAGAGGACGGGGAAGAGCAGGGAACAGTCATACCGAGGCGCTCTCCAAAAACCTTATTGCCCTTCTCCCGGTGTAGGATCGCAAAGTAAGGGGTTCTGGAGGCCTACTCTCCCGAACGGGAATGCACATGGTCGATGGGGTGGGATCGCCTTAAGCATCAACAATGAGTGGAACAGTAGAGTGACAGTTAGGGCTATGAGCGACGAGGAACTAAGTGTGTCGGCTGGAGTGTCGACACGTCCAATATATAGGTCATCATGTAGGGAGTCATGGGCTTAGGCTTAGGCCCACACCCAAGTCGGCAAACAACTCACAGTCCAATGTCTTGGATAGTGGCACTTTCATTAGCGACTCATAATTAATCTCTAATTAATTAATCATTCCTGACTAGTAAAAAATATAACGTAGACATAGGTATGAGTTCAGAATTTTTACGAAACACACACGGGCTAGGCGGGCGGCGGCGGAGGAGTACATGTGTGTCATTCATCTTCTCAAGCTCCAATAACATGTAAAATAGAATCTCATATAAAGAGGTCGCAACTCTCTTCCACTAGCGGTATGGTATTAAACTTTTCACCATTTCATGACACCCTACATAGACACATGCCTTAGAGATTAATAAGGAATTATTGTTCATATGGGCCCAAGGCCCATCTATAATTCAACAAAAATCTTCATCGAGGTAAACTCATCTAGAGCCTTCCACACATACCTATGTAGTGTGTGCATATGTGTGATCGTGTCTTTTGGATAAAGGCTAAACCTAGAAAAACATTAGGCCGGGACGAGCTTGTAAAAGCCCAATCTTCTTTTCTCAAGCCCGAGCCTAACATGAAGCCCAAAATACAGTCTTTATTGAGTCTGAGCCTGACCAAAATCTTGTTTTTCAATGTTCACATGTGTAAGCCTGACTTGGAATACTGAAAAGGGAAGCTCGAGCCCAAATTGAACTACCATCCGGGTTGCAAAATGAGGCCCAAGCCCAGCCCGAACGGCAAGTATGGCCCAACTCCACATGGGTTTTTCGGGCCAGGCTGCCCATGCTCAGGTCTACTAAAGGCTATCACGCGATTAACGAGTTGAAAAAAATGCTTTCATATGTGAATCGATCGGCGTTTGAATTTTTCTCCTTCCCGCGCATGCATGTAATGTTGCAAATAGGAGTAGAAAACACACAATCTGATCGACGGTGTGGGTTGCATTCGCAGCTTGGCATGGGAAGCGCGCTAGAGACGCTGTGCGGGCAGGCGGTGGGCGCGGGGCAGGTGGACATGCTGGGCATCTACATCCAGCGCTCCTGGATCATCTGCGGCGCCACCGCGCTGGCCCTCGTGCCGACCTACGTTTTCACGGCGCCCATCCTACGGGCCCTCCACCAGCCCGCCGCAATCTCCGCCGTCGCCGGCCGGTACACACGATGGGTCATCCCGCAGTTGTTCGCCTACGCCGCCAACTTCCCGCTGCAGAAGTTCTTACAGGCGCAGAGCAAGGTCTGGGCCATGACCTTCATCTCCGGCGTGGGGCTCGCCCTCCACGTCGCGCTCAACTACATCTTCGTCGCCCGCCTCGGTCATGGCCTCTTCGGCGCCGCCATGATCGGGAACGTCACCTGGTGGATCATCATCCTCGCGCAGTTCGTCTACCTCGTCTCGGGCTGCTTCCCGGAGGCGTGGAAGGGGTTCTCGATGCTCGCCTTCAGCAGCATCGCCGCCTTCGTCAAGCTGTCCCTCGCCTCCGCCGCCATGCTCTGGTTGGTAGATGCACGAACTTAATTGAAATCAGCATGTAGGTTGCTTAAAATGCACTATCATTTTGAATGGTACTTACAAATTTATACATGTGTGTGTTATCTAGCTTGGAGGTCTGGTACTACACTGCAGTGCTCATCCTTGTGGGTCTCCTGAAGAATGCTCAACTCGAGGTTGACATCATGTCAGTCTGGTAAGAAAATTTCCTCTGGCAAACCTGTAACTGAACTTTGTGTACATGTAAAGAATCGGTTCAATGATTAGACTACATCTGAAATTGACAGCATCAACTACCAGCTCTGGGCCGTGATGGTTGCACTAGGCCTCAATGGAGCAGTGAGGTATAATGCATGCAACAACACAAATATAACACCACCAACAGAAGACTGCAACTGTACATAAGTAGACAAAATCCATTGCTCCCTCCTATCCAAATTAATTGACACAACATCTATACAATGTTCATTTTACATTGTATAGAGGTTGCGTCAATTTTATTCGGATTGGAGGGAGTAGTGTTTGTGCTAATGCAAAAAAATGTCTGACATGCAGCGTTAGGGTGTCGAACGAACTGGGCGCCAACAAGCCGAAGGCGGCCAGGTTCTCAGTGATCATGGCGGTGTCGACCTCCGCTGCCATCGGTGCAGTCTTCCTGGCCGTGTTCCTCGCCTGGAGGACCGAGCTGCCACGGGTTTTCAGCGACAACGACGAGGTGGTGAGCGAGGCTGCAAAGCTCGGCTACCTTCTTGCAGCAACCATCTTCCTCAACAGCATCCAGCCTGTGCTCACAGGCACGTACCGCTACTACACCCACCAGTTACCAAATCAAGCCATTATTCCCAATGGCAACAGGAAGATCTGAACAGCAAACTTTTCGGTGTCGTTGTGCAGGTGTGGCGATAGGAGCAGGGTGGCAGACGCTTGTTGCCTTCATAAACATCGGATGCTACTACTTGGTTGGCATCCCACTGGGATTCCTCTTTGGCTTCAAGCTTAAACTTGGCGCACTGGTAACGACAAAATCGGATCAACTTCCAATATGAAACGGGCAATCTGACTCTAACCTCTGCTCTGAACGTACATCAATGTGTTTCTGCAGGGAATATGGGCGGGCATGTCCATCGGCACGCTGCTGCAGACTGTAGTACTTCTCATAATTTGCTTCAGAACCAAGTGGAAGAAACAGGTGCAGTACCATGCTAATTTCACTCAATCAAGATTTTTTTCTTCTATACATATGACTCAATCGAAGTTATTTCTTGACTCAATTGAAGTTGAGCAGATTTTTAATCTGAACTTCTAACGGTGCAGGCTATGTTGGCCGAAGGGAGGATAAGGGAGTGGGGAGGAAGCACTGAAACATTGCCGGCGGCGACAAACGGTAGCATAGATAGATGATCAGATGGTTCCTGCATGCAGATTGGACAATGCTATTTATATATACATGGAAAACACATATAGGTAGATTATATAACTAATTAACCTGTACAGAGTGAGATTGATCCAATGTACCTCGACTTCGTCATTGGGGAAATCGGTCTTTTAGGATTTGTTTGGATCGAATAAATGAAAATCAACTACTAATTCCTGTTTAACAAGAATTGGAATTGGGAATCGATTTCAATTCAGGTATATGGGTGGCCACAGAATTGCAAAACCGAATTAGTAGTGAAGTCAAATCTAAGTTTTGTTTGGTTCAGCACTTTGAAGAATTGAGTGCGCAAACACAAACTAATGTATTTCTGTATGTAGGGTTACATATAACATATTACAAGTAAATATAAATGAAATACAAGCACTAGACATGTACCAAATAATGTTATAACATACTTCCTCCGTCCGAAAATACTTGTCATCAAAATGGATGAAAAGGGATGTATCTAGAATTAAAATATATCTAGATACATCCCCTTTTATTCATTTTTATGACAAGTATTTCCGGACGGAGGGAGTATAATGTTATTATATGCATAAATGTGAGGCACATATATTGTGCTTCTTATATTTATACTACAAATTACTATTGATGTTACAATAATGCATTACATATTTCTACGAACTAATTTGTACAATGGATTGTAGTAGTTTTTTCCATTATATTTTATTCTATGTCCACCAGGGCATATATGTACATTTTTTCTTCTTGTTAACACATCATATACTTTATAAATATATAATATATAATCTATTCTAAATATATTTA